CTATTTAAACACTCGTTAACAAATGAAAAAAAAGTCGTAAAGTTTTATACACGGCTAGTATACTTTTGTATCAAGCAAAGCTCACTGACACACTCTATAGCATGCTTATTTGCAATGTATATTAAAGAAAAATACTGTATTATTCTTTACATTGTCTAGAATTTTCTCTGACAAGCTGTTGATCCTCAAATGCCTGTAAAGAAAAGTTGCTTTTGGAATAGGTAGTTAATAAGTTCTAGTTTCTGCATATTTACAAAGTGTTTTGGAAACTTATTTATCGTTTACATTTCAACAGGAGATAAGACATTAATAAAAAATTATGTAGTGACTCCAGAACGACAGTTAAGACCTGGCAGTCATTACAATGTATTGACAAAAGCAAGTGCATGCATTAGTTTAGGTTTAATCTCAAAGTATTATCATTTTTGTAGGCCAAACGATCAATTTAAGTAGCTACAATAATCTTTTACAGTGAGGCTAATTATTCAGGAAAAAAGACGTACAAGAAGATTGATTATAGGTAGTTTCAATATAAATTCAAATTTCTGCGTAATAGAACAGTGTATTTTCTACTTATTTAATATAAAAAAAAATATGCATGGAAAAGTCAAGAGTCTATAAGGGCTGTGAGAGGTTTATGCACTATTTGTGTGAAGCATTAAGAAAAGCTTCACATAAATCACTACATAATATAGGGAGATCTGCACACATACACACACAGACACGCGCTCGCACACACGAACATGAACTCACATACACACGTATACGTATATGAACTAATGGGGCCTCGTCTCCCTGCACGCTTTACGCACCAACCTTTCATGAAGAGATTTTCATTTTCATTTGAAAACTTTCGTAGGAAGTTTCCTTTTTGGTTTGTGGTTATCTTACCCACTATTACTATATTATTTTAATCATGATTATTATGAGTTGTGCATCATAAAAATTTTGTTAAAACAATAATTCATTTTTTGATTTTAGTTTGTTCCACGATATACAACTTTCTCACTTTATATTCACCTTATTCTTCTTGAAATATTGTTCAATGTTTTGATAAGTGTCTATAGTTATTCTTAAAATTAAATTTTCTTCTTGATGTTCTTTTTGAATTAAAACAAATTACAATTACTTTATTAATAAATTTCGTTAATTGGCGTTNGCAACCACGGAAAGTTAATATTTTGAAAAGTAATGCTTTACTTCAGGAATTGATTGAGTGTCCCATTAATCAAGCGTACACCAAAAGAATTCCACTCGGAGATAAAAAGAAAAAAGACCTACAGAGCATGGTGAAAAAAGGTCTTGTACCACATGAGTCTTTGCAAGATTTTAATTCAGTTTAGTTTTTAAAATATAATTTACTTTTCTGAATTAAACAACAAACACATGATATTTCTAAAAAGTTTATTTGACTTTTGAGCTGTTATCAGTATTTCAATTAAAGCTCAAGTAGTGTAGCTAATATTTGTGGATCTGATAAATATTATTTATGCTACTTACTTTCAAGGAAAAATGATTATTGATGATCTTAATCGAAGAGTAATGATAGCTTTGATCGGAGGACTCGCGGCTCTTGTTAGTTAAACTATTGTGAACGTTAGTATTCGTCGAAGCTAAGTGATTGTTGATAGTTTTAGTCAGAAGTCTTCACTATCATTAGTTTTCGCTGAAATTTATTTAATGCTTTTTTTCTTCGGAGCCGTCGACTGATAACGCCACTCACAAAGGAGCTCCTATCAGGTTGTTTCATAGGCTGTGATTTAAAAGTATCCCTATGGTCTAAGCTGTTAAGCTTTTTTTATTCACTTTAATGTTACTTGTATTAGTCATTACTAAAAAAATCAAGATAGTCATTTTTATTTAAGGCTTCGTAGTAGTTTCCTTCGAAATGAAAGCACTTAAATTTTCCTCCACACTATTACTTTTTTTTTTGCTCGTTGGGGTATATGCATGTATACTCGTTATATTCTAGAAAAAATACAAACGCGCATTTGATGTCAACTCATGGCAGTGTTTCAGAATTTGTTTTATAAAAAACATTTGTTATGTAAAAGATACATCAAGTACATATCATAATTTTAGTTAAGTATTAAGTTCTGTGCAACAAGTTAGCGATCTTAAGATTTTTACACCTTTCTCTTCGTAGATTGTCATTTGTGTAAAATTTATTTCTTTAATCTCCATTTTTATACCTACGTTTCCTAATATCGACTGAAAGTTTCGCCGTCAATTGATTGAAAAATCCATTTGTCATCTTATTATTATTTTTTTTTTCAAGTGTTTATGAAGCATGTGTCATTATTTGCTTGTTTTATGTTTAAACATTCTTTTCTGCTTGGTTTTTAAGATCAATGCACAACTATTTCGTGCTTTTTTTTACTATTGCTTAATTGATTTTATTAATCTTTATTATCTAGCTCTACACTTTACCACTCAACTTGCTGTCACTCTAGCTTCCAGCCTTAATAGTATGCTACTTCACTTTTCAATTTTTCTAGTAAACCAATTGTGTATCACACTTTACAATAATTACTTTTTGCAACATGCTTCTTGTTTGTGATAGTACTAGAAAAGCTAGTCGCTTTATATGTAATGCCTTTCACAAATCTTACGCTATGTTTTTGTTTTCACGTTCCTCTCTTTTTTTTGTTTTATTGTTGTGATCTAGATTGTCAGCTGCTTAGACTTGAAGTCATCGTCAAAAAATTTTTACATGAGTTTAATGAGGTTTCTTATAATTTAAAATACTTTTTTAGCGCAATCTGAGAGTGCCAAAATTTTAAAATTTTTCCCTTTCGAAAGTTGTGTTTCCAAATTGCTTGTTACGACACTACTCAAAATATCCCTTATTATTCCTATGTTGTTCCAAAAATTCTATCCGTTCGTCAATTAGTGGCTAAGTACGTTACGGCTCCCATGTACTGCCCGAGAGGCTGTGTATCGAGAATCTAGCAGACATAATTAATTGCATGCATGATTTTTCTTCTTTTTTAATTTTTTTTAAATCCTAAATAAATCACATAGAATCAGCCGAAATTCAGTAGTACTTGATTTAAATAATCATACATCATCAATCTTAAATTGCAGTTTAACAGTATCATCATATTATAAATGACAAGTAGTTATCTATAAATTTTCTACAGTTTCAAAATAAGGAATCTTTGAATTATCACCAACATCAGTAGGATTTAATTTTTCAGTCTTATATTTTTTGGTTAAATTGTCTTTGAGTAATGTTTTATGTGATAAATGGTAAAGTACTATCAATTGGTTTAAATTTTTTCAATAAATAATCGATTTGTCTATTATAATCTTTCACACAATCTTTTAAAACTTTCTGCAATCGATTGCTTGCATTTCAAAATTATTTTACTGTCACTATCAATATCACATTCACTGCTACATATCTCAAACCTACATTTGTAATTTCTGTTTCGCTATTTCTTTTTCTAACGTATCTCATATGTAATAAATGTCTATTTATACGTTTATTCATTTTGTCATCCATTGTAGATCTTCTAAAAATACACTTTTTTTATTCACTAATTTTACCTGCTGTGTTGTTATGAATACACTAATAATCAAAAAACATTTTAAAAAAGATAAAAAAGTATTTGTTAGTTTTAATTCAAAGTTTGTATATTGATACTAATACTTAGTAAGATATGATAACAGAAGAATACTAAAACTGAATTCTGTTATTCAAATAACACTTTTTACTCTGGTACCTTGTAGACTGGTTGAGCCTTACATGCAAGACACAGTGTTTTGCATCAATTTAGCCGCTTGTTTTTGTTAATTTTCATAGGCTTCATAGCTATGTACACTGTACGGACCACCTACGGTCAAGGTACGGGCAGTACACGGGCGCCGTGTACTGTCTGTCTACGTACCTGATCGTCCACGTTACACAGGCCAGGAGTATTATGTCCGGCGTACCGTCAATGGGCCGTATGATAGTCTCCGGCGGGCTGTAGACTTTTTCTAATCGGGAAGCAGCTATTCAATTAGAATCAACAGCAGATTAAAAATTTACTGTTTTTTTTTTTTACTTTTTAAGGGCATTCCAGAGAATAATCAAGTTTCCTATCTTGTCAATAAGGTTACTTTGATTGTGTAGCTTTAGTCTCAGAAAAAGTATATTTTAACTATTTAAATAACGAATTAAGCTTAAACTTGGCAAGATTGATTGAAAACTCAAGGTGAAAAGTAAGAAATTAAATTTTACAGTAATAAGGTGCGATCAGATTTTCTATTGCTTTTCTTTATATTTTAATGAATCTCACGAAAATCAAGTTTCATTTTTATTTTTTGAAAGTTTATCTTTTTTTTTTTTTTTGGTATGTTGATNTCGTATCAATTGCAACATTCTCAAAAACGCAGTGTCATTTGCATCTCTGTAGCTGTATTACAGTATAACCTAAACAATTTGTAAAAGTTAAAAGAATGGGTTTTTGCACTTAAAATAATCAAAGCATCCTACAAAAAAATTTTCAATAAAAAGTTGTAGATAATATAAAAATATTTTGAATACGACTCATTTAATAACTATTTATAGTAGGAGTTGTTAAATAATATTAATACAATCAAAGAAACCTTATTCATACAACTTTAATTATCACCAGACTGCCCTTATAATTTAAAAATTAATTATTGTGTTCAAAAAATAGTACATTTATTAGTATCACAGTTTTTTTACTGTACACAAAACTTGATAATGACTTAAGTCTAATGAAATACGTACATTTTTGATACTTGTTTTTTATTAGAAAAGTGCAGTATTAGAATTTATACAGTTTTTACCTTAAATAAAATTAGTTGGATTTACAACCATCAGTCTGTTTAAAATCTACATCATAACTGAGAATTACTTGATACTTTAACTAATATTATAACTATTTTGATGCAAAAAAATTTTTTAATATGTATTTAGGTGACATAGACACCGAATAATATGATTACAATAATTGTAACGATTTCTCAATTTATTTAGTACTTACTGTGTATGTAAGCTACTACGCTTTCAGTAAGACCATGTGTCGATAGTGCTATCAATACCTCAGCAGCACTTTTTTGCCATATGAGATTATATTGTGGACATGAACTTGTAATAGCAGAGAACAGTAGAGTAAGATCATCTTTACGAGCTAATTCTTCTGCTGCATATGAATGACTGCACAATCTTACAAGCAACTAAAAAATATAGCAGACTTAAATTTTCCATTTTTTTTCTATAATATAAAAAGCATAGCTAATAAAAACGGTAAATAATAAACCTACTACGATACTTTTGACTAGATTTAAATATTTTACAAAATCAGTACAAGTGTTATTATAGTTTTTTGACTGCTCTATTTTTATTTACTCTTGAACTCAACTATTCATATTAAAATAAGCTTGGATAACGCTTTTTGAATTGTAACTTTGTCTTAAATTGTTAGAATTGTTTGAGACTTTCTACTAAATGAGATGAGTTANGTTTTTGCCTGTTACACGAATAATTTTTAATTCTAAAACATTATCTCAAATAAAAAAATTGTAGTCATCAAAATAAAATTTTTTTGTACAGTAAGTTTTTTTCTAAAGTGTCTTCTTAACGACTGAATCGTCAAAAAACGTTTTAATGTAACTAAAAAAATCGTTTTAAACCATCTAATTTTTGAACAGCACGTTTCAAGACAAAATGCTTAGTCCGAAAATTGTAGATCTTTCAAAAATACTTTTTTGTACTGACCAATTTCACCTATAGTGTTATTTTAAAGACATTTAATATCGAGAAACGTTTTAAAATGTCTGAAAAGCATTTCTTAGTTAACTTTCAAAGTAACCATACTTATACTAATACTTAGTTAAATATGATAATGAAATAGTATTAAAATTAAATTCTGTTGTTAAGATAACACTTTTTGCTCTGTCACATTGTAGATTACATGCAAGACATGGTGTTAACTTTATGTATTTTTAATAAATTGTTTCGCGAAAATCAACTCCCATATTCTGATCATATTTTTTAATTTTCAAGATAAACAACTATAGTTATACAATAGTTCTTATTTTCATACCGCACAAGAGGCAGACAGATCAGCTTTGTAGTTACAACTAATGTTAAAAAACTTTTTATGAATTAAATATACGTACGGACCTCATATAGAAACATTTTCAAGATGCAATGTCTATAATGAGAAAACGATGCAGACCAGATTTATTTATAAAAGTAACATGTTACGTTAAGTGAAAAAAATTAAAGTTAACTTTATCGAAATTTGCTAAAAATACAAGACCAAATGATTTTTCAAACATAACTGTTAGAATATTTCACTTTAAATAAAAGTCAGTTTTGTATGACATCATTCAAAATGATATATTCGGTAAAGTATTATCATATATCTGTACCATCGAATTTCAAAAACGTAGTCTACCTCATGCACACAATTCAATAATTTTGCATCCTGATAAAAAAATTATTACACTTAAAAAAATTGTTGCAATTATTTTAGCTGAAATTTCTTTTGGTAATACAAAACTTACAAAACTAGTGATGAAGCAAATGCTTCACGGACGTCACACAAAACAAAACCTTTGTACAATTAATTAAAAATATAGTAAAAATTTCAAAATCTTTTACAAACGTAAGTTCGCCTTAGACTAATGTTTATACCAAATATAAAAACGAAAATAATACTTTTGAACAATATATTTATGAACTTTAGAGAGGAAATAAAATTTTAGTAGACAATTCGAAGGTTGTACCGTATAATAAATTTTTGTTAATATTATATAAATTTCATGTTAACGTCGAATTCGGTGCATCTATTTAAGGCATAAAATTAATGAATGACTACATACATAAAGGTAGCAACAGAGTATACATCATAATTTAAAAATTAAAAAACCAAGATAAAGCTATATTTGATGAAATTAATAGTGACGTTGGTGATACATGGATAGGTCTTACGCGCACGGTGGCTCGGTCGGCTAGATTGCGGGTTAGCATGTGAAGACCACAGTTTGATTTCCAGCCAGTGCGACTCTTTCGAGTAAGTACTTCTGTAAAGTTTCACATGTGCTTTTTTACCATGCAATACATCTCCTGAAGGGGATAAGAGACCTTTTTGTAGCAAAATGGCCTATTACTTAGATCGTGAAATCATCACCATAACAACGAATTATTAACTGTACCCAATAATGTAAAAATATAACCATTAATGTGACTTCTTTTCTTTTTAATGAATTATTTTGCGAAAATTAACGTACGCAAAAAACTTTATTATTCCTAAAAATCGAGTATGATGTATGTTGTCAAATATTTTCTAGTATCTATAATTGTTCAATAAATAGTGTTACACTTACATGGAAGAACAAGTACACTTGTTGTTTAACTGATGAAATTCTTAAAAAATTAACTGGAGAAACTCAAATTTACTATAGAACAGATCGACGGCTCCGAAGAAAAAAAGCAGGAGATCTTAGCGTTTTTCAAAAACTAACCAAACTCGTTGCGTTCTGATCAAAACTAGCTATACTTGCTACTTTTGACCAAGACTATCAATATACACAGATTTTTGAGAAAGACTAACAAAACTTGAGACTTTTGATCGAAACTATCAACACTCGTTGCACTTCGACAAAGAGTAGCGAGAGTCGCGAGTCCTCGAAGCAAGACTATCAAAACTCACTGCTTTTTCAAGAAAATCAACAACAACAATAGCTGCACTTCGATAAAGAATAGCAAGACTCCTAAATCCTACGAGCAAGACTATAAAAACTCGTAGTGCAAAAGAGATAATTACTAAAAAAAATATTAAATCATTTAAGTGTTAAATACTGTNGTAAATAATAAACCTACTACGATACTTTTGACTAGATTTAAATATTTTACAAAATCAGTACAAGTGTTATTATAGTTTTTTGACTGCTCTATTTTTATTTACTCTTGAACTCAACTATTCATATTAAAATAAGCTTGGATAACGCTTTTTGAATTGTAACTTTGTCTTAAATTGTTAGAATTGTTTGAGACTTTCTACTAAATGAGATGAGTTACTAAATATGAAATAACTTATTGAGGCTTTACTAGGGTTTGATGTTCTTCTGAGCATTTAGTATATCAACTGTTACCTTACTTCATCTTAGTTGGCTAGTAACCACAATACTTATTGCTTCTAAGAAGTAGTGATGACGTCAAAGTAGTTGACTCTAGATTACAGAGGCTAAAGTAGAACTTGATTGCCACTATCAGATAAAGAATTTTATAAGGCTTAGCATTAATAACGAAGAAATCATTAAGCAGAACACTTATCTTCAAAGAAAAAGAAAAAACAGACAAAAACGACTTTTTTAGAGTCTCACTTCTGCTAGGGGTCTCAAAACCTATACATTAATTTGATAATAATGCAGTAGTTCTAAGTAATTTTCAGATTTTATGGGAGAATATTTAATGTATATTACTCAACATGATCTTATTAAAACTAAATCTTGTTCAAATTATCTTTTTGGCTTACCTGAGTTTTCCTTTGACATGTAAATGTCCCGACTGTTTTCTGAAGGTTATTTTATTAAAGTTATTGTAAAGTAATTTTTACACATTTATGTAATTTATTATTGTGAAGTAAAGAGGTACGTTAAGTTTAATGACATTATTTTTTGTTATAGACGGTGAATCTTCGTCTGCACCTTCAGTTATCAGAAGAAGACTATTGAATAGAAAAAAGATCGAAGGTAGTGCTACGAAATCGGCAACCAGGAAAAGAAAGTCAACATCAACTGAATGGCTTGATGTAAAATCCAAAAAAGCTCGTGATGAAGGAAAAGAAGGCGTTGGCCATAATAAACGTGCAATTATTGCAAGACGTATGAAATTAGGATGTAGTGAAGATGATGTCAAATGCAGATCCAAGTGTAGTGAGAAGATATCGACCGAGGACAGGGAGAAAGCTTTTAACAGTTATTGGGAGTTAAAGGACAAAGTCAAACAGTGGGACTGCATAAATAACTGGATGACAGTCAGACCTACCAAATCAGACGAAGAGTCTATAGAGATAGCAGAACTATTTGATAGAAATATCAGAAAAGAATACAGCCAATTTATGCTTCCTTCCACAACTGGACTTACTCCAGTCTGCCAGAAGATGTTTCTTGAAACATTAGGTAAGTAACGTGAAATGCGTTGTTACTAACTTTCCAATTTATTTATAAGTAACTCACATTTCGGTCTTACTTGGTTAATGCCACCGTAACTGACTCAAAACGACTTTAAAAATGGTTTTCAGAAATGTTGGTTAAAAAAAGTTATTACTACCTTATAACGTACTGATAAAAAATATTTAAAGTGATTGAACTAGAAATATAAACATTGTATAAAATTAAATTTTAAATTATTTTCCAAAAAAGTACGTCTGTTACTGGCGTGTGTAACTAAGCTACTTAAATAGAGCCGTAGATCGATAAAATTTTTGCTTCATTAAGTACATGCTCCTTATTGAAAGTTACAGATGTTTTAAGAAGAGTGAAAAAAATAACTAATAAATAAGACTATTAATTGATGACTAAAAATTCAACAAATCTGGATTATCTACAAAATTTCGTTTTATCTTTTATTTGAGCATGTACCTCGCCAAAAAAATCCAATTGAACCAAACATTGAGACACGTGTCTCATTTTTTATCCCATCACTTCGAACGACTTCAAAGCCATGGCAACACCTAAAATTCGGAATTTTTAGTTAAAGAAAAAGAAAAACAGTAAAAATCCAAATATTCGTAAATAATGGAAATATCGCAAAATTAGCGATAATTTTTAATCATTAAAATTCGAAAAATAATTTTATTAAATTTGCGTATACGAGGCCCTAGCCGACGCAAAAATCATTTTAACAACTTCAATTACCTTCTAGGAAGTCCACTGTATTACTACGATCCAGTACAAAGCCATGGCATCACTTGAAATTCGAAATTTTTAATTATAAACTTAGTCCAAACTTTAAACGCCCGTATCTCCGTAAATAATGAAGATATTACAAAATAAGCTATAGATTTACGTAAAAAATTTTTTTTTAATATCTATTTTATTGCATATACGAAGCCCTAGCCAAGACTTTAAAAACCTTTTCTACAACTGAAATAACCTTCTAAAGATTGTGAGGTACGTTAAGTTTAATGACATTATTTTTTGTTATAGACTGGCATTTAAGGTAC